TGGTGACGTGAGGGAGGCTGTGATGGTGATGTGAGGGAGGTTGTGATGGTGATGTGAGGGAGGTTGTGATGGTGATGTGAGGGAGGTTGTGATGGTGATGTGAGGGAGGCTGTGATGGTGATGTGGGGGAGGCTGTGATGGTGATGTGAGGGAGGTTGTGATGGTGACGTGAGGGAGGTTGTGATGGTGATGTGAGGGAGGTTGTGATGGTGATGTGAGGGAGGTTGCTGTGATGGTGATGTGAGGGAGGTTATGATGGTGATGTGAGGGAGGTTGTGATGGTGATGTGAGGGAGGTTGTGATGGTGATGTGAGGGAGGTTGTGATGGTGATGTGAGGGAGGTTGCTGTGATGGTGATGTGAGGGAGGCTGTGATGGTGATGTGAGGGAGGTTGTGATGGTGACGTGAGGGAGGTTGTGATGGTGATGTGAGGGAGGTTATGATGGTGATGTGAGGGAGGTTGTGATGGTGGTGTGAGGGAGGCTGTGATGGTGATGAGAGGGAGGCTGTGATGGTGATGAGAGGGAGGCTGTGATGGTGATGAGAGGGAGGTTGTGATGGTGATGTGAGGGAGGTTGTGATGGTGATGTGAGAGAGGCTGTAATGGTGATGTGAGGGAGGCTGTGATGGTGATGTGAGGGAGGTTGTGATGGTGATGTGAGGGAGGTTGTGATGGTGATGTGAGGGAGGCTGTGATGGTGATGTGAGGGAGGTTGTGATGGTGATGAGAGGGAGGCTGTGATGGTGATGAGAGGGAGGTTGTGATGGTGATGTGAGGGAGGTTGTGATGGTGATGTGAGGGAGGTTGCTGTGATGGTGATGTGAGGGAGGTTGTGATGGTGATGAGAGGGAGATTGTGATGGTGATGAGAGGGAGGCTGTAATGGTAATGTGAGGGAGGTTGTGATGGTGATGTGAGGGAGGTTGTGATGGTGATGAGAGGGAGGTTGTGATGGTGATGTGAGAGAGATTGCTGTGATGGTGATGTGAGAGAGGATGTGATGGTGATGTGAGGGAGGTTGCTGTAATGGTGATGTCAGGGAGGTTGTGATGGTGATGAGAGGGAGGTTGTGATGGTGGTGTGAGGGAGGTTGCTGTGATGGTGATGAGAGGGAGGTTGTGGTGGTGATGTGAGGGAGGTTATGATGGTGATGTGAGGGAGGTTGTGATGGTGACGTGAGGGAGGCTGTGATGGTGATGTGAGGGAGGTTGTGATGGTGATGTGAGGGAGGTTGCTGTGATGGTGATGTGAGGGAGGTTGTGATGGTGATGAGAGGGAGGCTGTAATGGTGATGTGAGGGAGGCTGTGATGGTGATGTGAGGGAGGTTGTGATGGTGATGTGAGGGAGGTTGTGATGGTGATGTGAGGGAGGCTGTGATGGTGATGTGAGGGAGGTTGTGATGGTGATGAGAGGGAGGCTGTGATGGTGATGAGAGGGAGGTTGTGATGGTGATGTGAGGGAGGTTGTGATGGTGATGAGAGGGAGGCTGTGATGGTGATGTGAGGGAGGTTGTGATGGTGATGAGAGGGAGGTTGTGATGGTGATGAGAGGGAGGCTGTAATGGTAATGTGAGGGAGGTTGTGATGGTGATGTAAGGGAGGTTGTGATGGTGATGAGAGGGAGGTTGTGATGGTGATGTGAGGGAGATTGCTGTGATGGTGATGTGAGAGAGGCTGTGATGGTGATGTGAGGGAGGTTGTGATGGTGATGTCAGGGAGGTTGTGATGGTGATGAGAGGGAGGTTGTGATGGTGGTGTGAGGGAGGTTGCTGTGATGGTGATGAGAGGGAGGTTGTGGTGGTGATGTGAGGGAGGTTGTGATGGTGACGTGAGGGAGGCTGTGATGGTAATGTGAGGGAGGTTGTGATGGTGATGTGAGGGAGGTTGTGATGTGAAGGAGGTTGTGATGGTGATGTGAGGGAGGCTGTGATGGTGATGTGAGGGAGGTTGTGATGGTGACGTGAGGGAGGTTGTGATGGTGATGTGAGGTAGGTTGTGATGGTGATGTGAGGGAGTTTGTGATGGTGGTGTGAGGGAGGCTGTGATGGTGATGTGAGGGAGGTTGCTGTGATGGTGATGAGAGGGAGGTTGTGATGGTGATGTGAGGGAGGTTGTGATGGTGATGTGAGGGAGGTTGTGATGGTGATGTGAGGGAGGTTGCTGTGATGGTGGTGTGAGGGAGGTTGTGATGGTGGTGTGAGGGAGGCTGTGGTCGTGATGTGAGGGAGGCTGTGATGGTGATGTGAGGGAGGCTGTGATGGTGATAAGAGGGAGGTTTTGATGGTGACGTGAGGGAGGCTGTGATGGTGATGTGAGGGAGGTTGCTGTGATCGTGATGTGAGGGAGGCTGTGATGGTGGTGTGAGGGAGGTTGTGATGGTGATGTGAGGGAGGTTGTGATGGTGATGTGAGGGAGGTTGTGATGGTGATGTGAGGGAGGTTGCTGTGATGGTGATGAGAGGGAGGTTGTGATGGTGATGAGATGGAGGTTGTGATGGTGGTGTGAGGGAGGTTGTGATGGTGATGTGAAGGAGGCTGTGATGGTGATGAGAGGGAGGCTGTGATGGTGATGTGTGGGAGATTGTGATGGTGATGTGGCCTCAAGGTGCACATAGCCTGGCACAAGCGTGGTGGTGACGTCACTTAGTGCGAATGGCGGTTGTTGTTGTTGATGATGTGAGGGAAGTTGCTGTGATGTAGTTATGTGAGGAAGGTTATGACGATGTTGTGATGATGTGAGGGAGGCTGCTGTGATGTGATTGTGTGAGGGTGTTGTGATGATGTTGTGAGGGCAGCTACGATGGTGATGTTGTGATGGAGACAGCTGTGATGATGACGATGGTGTTGTTGTGATGGAGACAGCTGTGATGATGACGATGTTGTGATGGAGACAGCTGTGATGATGTGGATAGTGATGTTGTGATGGAGACAGCTGTGATGATGACGATGGTGTTGTTGTGATGGAGACAGCTGTGATGATGTGGATGGTGTTGTTGTGATGGAGACAGCTGTGATGATGACGATGGTGATGTTGTGATAGAGGCAGCTATGATGATGTGGATGGTGTTGTTGTGATGGAGACAGCTGTGATGATGACGATGGTGTTGTTGTGATGGAGACAGCTGTGATGATGTGAATGGTGTTGTTGTGATGGAGACAGCTGTGATGATGACGATGGTGTTGTTGTGATGGAGACAGCTGTGATGATGACGATGGTGTTATTGTGATGGAGACAGCTGTGATGATGTGGATGGTGTTGTTGTGATGGAGACAGCTGTGATGATGACGATGGTGTTATTGTGATGGAGACAGCTGTGATGATGACGATGGTGTTATTGTGATGGAGACAGCTGTGATGATGTGGATGGTGTTGTTGTGATGGAGACAGCTGTGATGATGACGATGGTGATGTTGTGATGGAGACAGCTGTGATGATGACGATGGTGTTGTTGTGATGGAGACAGCTGTGATGATGTGGATGGTGTTGTTGTGATGGAGACAGCTGTGATGATGACGATGGTGTTGTTGTGATGGAGACAGCTGTGATGATGACGATGGTGTTATTGTGATGGAGACAGCTGTGATGATGTGGATGGTGTTGTTGTGATGGAGACAGCTGTGATGATGACGATGGTGATGTTGTGATGGAGACAGCTGTGATGATGTGGATGGTGTTGTTGTGATGGAGACAGCTGTGATGATGACGATGGTGATGTTGTGATGGAGACAGCTGTGATGATGTGGATGGTGTTGTTGTGATGGAGACAGCTGTGATGATGACGATGGTGATGTTGTGATGGAGACAGCTGTGATGATGTGGATGGTGTTGTTGTGATGGAGACAGCTGTGATGATGATGTGGATGATGATGTTGTTGTGATGATGACGATGTTGTGATGGAGACAGCTGTGATGATGTGGATGGTCTTGCTCGAGAAGTTGCTGCGATGCGAAGCGGTGGTGCGAGAGAGGATGTTGAGGGTGTGACATTGCTGTTGTGATGATGTTGTTGTGATGATGTTGTTGTGATGATGTTGTTGTGATGATGTTGTTGTGATGATGTTGTTGTGATGTTGTTGTGATGATGACGCTGTTGTGAGGGAGGCCGCTGCGATGTTGATGGTGTGACATTATTGTTGTGGTGATGTTGTTGTGATGATGTTGTGATGATGACGATGTTGTGAGGGAGGCTGCTGCGATGTTGATGGTGTGACATTGTTGTTGTGATGATGTTGTTGTGATGATGACGATGTTGTTGTTGTGAGGGAGGCTGCTTTGATGTTGATGGTGTGAGTGAGATTGTTGTTGTGATGATGACGATGTTGTGGGGGAGGCTGCTATGATGTTGATGGTGTGAGATTGTTGTTGTGATGATGACGATGTTGTTGTTGTGAGGGAGGCTGCTATGACGTTGATGGTGTGAGTGAGATTGTTGTTGTGATGATGACGATGTTGTTGTTGTGAGGGAGGCTGCTATGACGTTGATGGTGTGAGTGAGATTGTTGTTGTGATGATGACGATGTTGTTGTTGTGAGGGAGGCTGCTATGACGTTGATGGTGTGAGTGAGATTGTTGTTGTGATGATGACGATGTTGTTGTTGTGAGGGAGGCTGCTATGACGTTGATGGTGTGAGTGAGATTGTTGTTGTGATGATGACGATGTTGTGGGGGAGGCTTCCCGGCCACCACCACCACCCCATCACCACCAACACCCCCCCCACCCCCCCTACCACCACCAACCCCCCACCATCCCCCCACCCCCCCACCACCCCCCCCACCACCACCACCACCCCCCCTACCACCACCACCCCCACCACCACCCCCCCCACCCTCCCCACCACCACCACCCCCCCACCACCATCCCACCACCCCCCCACCACCATCCCCCCACCACCACCACCCCCATCCCCCCACCACCACCACCACCCCCATCCCCCCACCACCACCCCCACCACCACCCCCCCACCACCATCCCCCCACCACCCCCCCACCACCACCCCCCCACCACCCCCACCATCAGCAGCAGCAGGAGGAGGCGGAGGGAGGCGCAGGGAGGAGTCGCCGCTGCGTCTCGCATCATGGCGCCCAGGGCCGTGCTCGCTCCTCTCTCCGCGCTGCTGCTGCTGCTGTCTCAATGTACGTACCGCGATTCCTCGTCCTCCTCGTTCCCCTCTTCACCTCCCACCTCGTCTGGGGGGTCCCCCCGGTCTCACTCCCCCCCCCTGGCCGCCCCGCCCGGTGTGAGGAGTGGAGTTGGGCTGGGAGCGAGCGGCGGGGTTGGTGCCGAGGGGAAGACGCGAGACCCGTGGGGGGTGATGGAGGTGGTGGTGATGATGGTGGTAGTGGTGGTGATGGGGGTGGTGATGATGGTGGTGGTGGTGATGGTGGTGGGGGTGGTGATGATGGTGGTGGTGGGGGTGGTGGTGATGGTGGTGATGGGGGTGGTGGTGATGGTGATGGGGGTGGTGGTGGTGATGGGGGTGGTGGTGATGGTGATGGGGGTGCTGGTGGTGGTGATGGGGGTGGTGGTGATGGTGATGGGGTGCTGGTGGTGGTGATGGTGACGAGTCAGGGGTGCTGCTTTACAGGTTTCAGGGACGCGTTGTTAAGCGCGAGCTGGGGGGTGCAGCAGGGACGAATAACGGGGCCGGTGAGAGACTCTGGGAGTGAGAGACTCTGAGAGTGAGAGATGAGAGACTGGGAGTGGGAGATGAGAGTCTCTGGGAGATGAGAGACTCTGGGAGTGGGAGATGAGAGACTCTGGGAGTGGGAGATGAGAGACCGGGAGTGAGAGTCTCTGGGAGTGAGAGACTCTGGGAGTGAGAGACTCTGGGAGTGAGAGCCTCTGGGAGTGAGAGACTCTGGGAGATGAGAGACTCTGGGAGTGAGAGATGAGAGACTCTGGGAGTGGGAGATGAGAGACTCTGGGAGTGGGAGATGAGAGACTCTGGGAGATGAGAGACTCTGGGAGTGAGAGACTCTGGGAGTGAGAGACTCTGGGAGATGAGAGAATCTGGGAGTGAGAGCCTCTGGGAGTGAGAGACTCTGGGAGTGAGAGACTGGGAGTGAGAGATGAGAGACTCTGGGAGTGGGAGATGAGAGACTCTGGGAGTGGGAGATGAGAGACTCTGGGAGATGAGAGACTCTGGGAGTGAGAGACTCTGGGAGTGAGAGACTCTGGGAGATGAGAGACTCTGGGAGTGAGAGACTCTGGGAGATGAGAGACTCTGGGAGATGAGAGACTCTGGGAGATGAGAGACTCTGGGAGTGGGAGATGAGAGACTCTGGGAGATGAGAGACTCTGGGAGATGAGAGACTCTGGGAGTGGGAGATGAGAGACTCTGGGAGTGAGAGACTCTGGGAGTGGGAGATGAGAGACTCTGGGAGTTGGAGATGAGAGACTCTGGGAGATGAGAGACTCTGGGAGATGAGAGACTCTGGGAGATGAGAGACTCTGGGAGATGAGAGACTCTGGGAGTGGGAGATGAGAGACTGGGAGATGAGAGACTCTGGGAGTGGGAGATGTGGTTGTTGGATGTGACCACATCTCTGGGGTGGTGGGGATTAGGGTGATGGGTGCCCCCATAACTTCTGGGTAGGGTGGCCTCCCACTGCAGTAATAGGATGAGTGAGTCATTGCTCTGGGTGTATTTTCTGAAATCGATGACCCCAAAACACTGGGTCACGTGGTCCTAGTTCCTGGTCCTCGCCATTTCGGCTGTGGTTATTGGGATGGGTCACCCCCACTACGATTAAACACATGTTTAAAGCAAGCCAGACTCTGCTGATGAGACTGCGAATGTCGAAACCGCTCCAGAGTTGCGCTTGCGTTGAACCAATTTGTTCAAGCATTGTTGAGGTTGCCCCAGCTTACTCTATCCTAAGCCCGATAGGAGGTTGGCCCCGACATTCGGGGGGAGTTGCACGCAAACCCTGACGCTGGTTGGCCACAACTCAAGAGGTGGTGGCCCCCACAACCAAAGGGAACGTGCTGTGAGGCCTTTTGTTGTTGTTAGAGGGAAGATGTGTCCACAGCTTTCCGACGAAGATTGTTCTCCAACCATGCCGAGAACCGGTGGGGCCCCTGAATCAGGGGCACGCCAGCGCCAGGGCTCTGCTCCTGTAGGTGACCGCAGCAACTGCTTGAAGTCAACTCGAGACCCAACTTGTTGATTCCTTGCGTCGATGGAGCCGCAGTGGAACGCAAGCAGTCGGCCGTCCGTCCTTGCAGCGTTCTCAGTTTGCACAGAACTCGTTCGCAGCCCGGAGGAGCGAAGATCGACGCTCGAAAGGGGTGCATTGTCGTCGAGGATGGGGGAGGGGGTAGCACTGAATGCGTATTGGTATTACATGTACAGTATTATATTGCACAGATGTACACAGACCTGTTGTGTGTGTGTGCGCGCTGCGCTATGAACCCGGCAGAGACCCGAGTTTGATTCCCGCTCACGGCCAACACCAGTGACGATTATCTGAACCAATCCCGGGCCTCTCTGAAGTTGACTCGGCCAAAAATGAGTACCTGGTGCGGTGTGGGGACACAAAGGCGGCCGGACATGGTGCTGGCCACCTACCCCCACCTTCATAGGCGCTACTCGCGAACAACGCTTGCCCCCAGAGTCTGCTAAGGCTATACAAGGGATCTTTGTCTTGGTATAGTGTGTGTTTGTTGTGTGTATGTTGTGTGTATGTTGTGTGTTTGTTGTGTGTTTGTTGTGTGTGTGTTGTGTGTATGTTGTGTGTATGTTGTGTGTATTGTAATGGGAATGCGTTTGTGATTGTATGCAGTATTCTTGTTGCTCGCCCATCAATCTAAACGTTTATCGATAAAGCCCAGCACTGTACGCGCATGCATCTGGAGCCTTTGCAATGCGTTGCTCTGTGCTGGCTGATGAATGTCTGCTCACGCCACGGTGTTTATGGGTTTTTGTTTATTAAGATGTAAGAATGCACGGTGGTGTGAGGGTGCAAACCAAACACCCTCGTTGGCCTTGGTCCTGTTAAAAATCAGTCCGAATATACAAATGCGTTGGTGTGTTAACATGTGTTTTGTGCTTCTCTGCTAAACGTGGTTATGCATTTTAAATATTACAGCTCCTTTGTCAACCGACTGCTCGTGCCGTATTGGTAATGGTGGTTGTTTTTGCCATACTTCACCACGATGGCCAGTCAGTGCTGATTGGTGAAGGTGGCCATAGGGCCAAGACCGTGACAGGCATCGCTTGCCACTGATGTCAGCCCGTGGCTGGGCATTAAACGAAGCTTCGTGAGGTGTGTAGCGCGGTGCGCTAACCACCGCTCCACCCTCAGCGATTCATGTATATCCGTGCCGATCCCAGTTAGCTAAAATGGATGCGTGTATTTTGCGGAGAAAATCCCATGCCATAATCACTTCTAGGCATGCACACAACCGGAGCTTGCACCCATGAAGCTTTCGGCACAGTAGTTAGTACCAATTTCCACGTGCTTCGCATTTAGTCTAACCATGTTTCATGGCCATTCTTGTGTGCGTCATCCTCGTGATTGCCAATTCGCTGATAGGACAAAGACCTCCTCACTCCGTGTCGGTCACGGGGGTTTGTTTGACCATACTTCACCATGCGGGGTTAGCGCGGGTTGCCGAACGCGACGTGAGCCGTGCTTGGGAATCGAACTCAACTCGTCAGGTTCAAAGTGCACTGCCCTCCTCACCACCGCTCCACGGATTACTCTAATCCAGCATGTCGCAGCAAAGTGGCACAAACGCAAGCGAGAGTTGTCAGAATCGTAATGTGTATTTAGACTGGAGGAATCCAATGAGCTATGAAGCTCTTTTTTACAGCTGTCCGGTTGTCTCCACGGGCAGTGCCGCGTCGATGAATACTTCTTGTCTCTGAACAAGCGCCTTAGAACGTTCAAAGAATGTCACATCAACTTGTTGAAATTGTCACTTCCACTTACTGCTCGTGTAGCAATGCAATACAAGTGGATAATCTGATGATCTTTTTTGTGTAATGCAGAATTGCCTCGCTTTTCCTCTTGCACGGGGGGTTATCGGCTCATTTCCCAGAATTAAGTTTGTGGCTTTATAATTGGCCCGGTGACCTTTCGAAAAGCCAGCAAAACGAATTGCCATATCTGTTTCAGCATGAGCACCAGCGGCCACAATGGTATTCACGTCCACAGCGGAGCCAAACAAGCCACCACCTCCCTCGCGATCGGCGTGCTCCTGCAGACGATTCGCGTTCCGCCTCTCACGGTGTCGTCCTGGGAGCCGGGTGTTGCCGTCACGGCTGCTCCGTGGCCCAGCGTTGGTTGTGCCGGAAAGTTGCTCTCATGCGCTCGTGACGGGCTCGGTGAGCTTACGACTGCTTGGACACGGGGTTGGTGGTGGCGGCGAGGGATGGGGGCGTGTGGGGGTATGGACGCCGCCCGGCGCCCGCACGCGAGCGCCACGACACGAGAACGCGACGCTCGATTGAGGCTCGCGCCGTCGGCGACGCTCCCTCGGCGAACCAAGCGGCGGTTCTGTCGGCGGTCGGTAACTCTCAGCGCCTCGACGGCCGAGTGATGAGTGAGGCGGTCGTGTAGGTGGCACAACGGCGTCGCGGTGCTCCTCCGGTCAGCGTTCCCTCCTGAGCACTTGCGTTTGTATCATTATTAGTAACACGTGCGGTGTATCTATATTTATATTTTTGCACAATTGCTGAGCGCAGGCGCCAATGGCCGATAGCGTCAATGAACGCCACTGCCGGCAACGAACGCCACTGTCAGGGTTGTCATGCAAGAGGTTAGGAGTCACGCCGTGTTTTAGTTTTAGTCACCGTGTTTTAGTCACTGTTTTAGTCACTGTTTTAGTCACTGGGAATTCTGAAGTGGAGCAGTGCGAGGGGGGGGAAGCAGAGAGAGGAGTGTTGTGACCTGCAGTGTAGTGTGTGAGTGTGTTGTTGTGACCTGCAGTGTGGTGTGTGAGTGTGTTGTTGTGAGTGTTGTTGTGACCTGCAGTGTGTGTGTGAGTGTGGTGTGTGAGTGTGTGTTGTTGTGACCTGCAGTGTGGTGTGTGAGTGTGTTGTTGTGACCTGCAGTGTGTGTGTGAGTGTGGTGTGTGAGTGTGTGTTGTTGTGACCTGCAGTGTGGTGCGTGAGTGTGTTGTTGTG